TCCCTTGCAGCGATTCCTTCGGGGAAGTCTTCCCCAGGGACTCCGCTGGGGAAGCCGTCTCCGGGGTGATGTCTCCGGGCTTCCTCTCTTCCTCAGGGTACTCGTCCTCCTCGTTCCTTCGCTCGACGGTCGTCGTATGGTACAATGAACTCTTCAAATTGCGAACGTCCTCAAAATCCAATCTCACGTTAAACGGAATGATATTCTAAGTCTCAAAACCATTTGAGACGTAATATGCCCCTTACAAACAAACCGAACTTCACATAAAACCGAAATAAGTGTACAGTCCCCTAATCACGCCGCCCCTGATAAGGGTGAGGGGATATTGGGTGAGTTTGACCGACCTAGGTGTTATAGGGGTATGTTTTTACATCCGAAGGGTGAGGTGTGGTCACCTCACTTGGACAGAAAGGTCGATCACCCAAATAATTATTAAACCAGCAAGAAATTAATGAGAATGAGTTAATACGCATTAATTAAGTAATTAGTTAGCGTACCTCGAGCGTGACCTCTCCGTTTGAGCCGCTCTTCTGCATGAACTTCACCTCCACGTCGTGCATCCCGGCTTCCTTCCCTTGCAGCGATCCCTTCGGGGAAGTCTTCCCCAGGGACTCCGCTGGGGAAGCCGTCTCCGGGGTGATGTCTCCGGGCTTCCTCTCTTCCTCAGGGTACTCGTCCTCCTCGTTCCTTCGCTCGACGGTCGTCTCCATCGGAGATACCGCAGCGTATATATGTACGCACGATCGAACCTGTATATATAAGAGCCTTGCAAGGCGTACACCCCTCAACGTGTCCTTTGTAGACTTGTGTTTCGTTCTGTGGATGTGGATTTAATTGTATGTTAGAGCGCGAGTCGAGGGTAACGCACAGCGTGTCCTGTGCGTTTGTCGTGTGCGGTAGATCTGACGGCGACGTGCCGCGCTGTCGCCTTACAGTGGCGCCACCTGTGCGGCGTAGCGATCACCTTGTGGAAGACGCGGGCACGAGGTGATGCGAATGTTGCATACTCGCAGCCGAATGATGAGAACGGAGGGAGAGCAACGGTTTGCGAGAAGATCTCCTTCGAGATTCCACGGCACCGGAATGCTTTTCAAATGGGCAGCGCCGTGGTGCTACGTGACGGCGCCAGTAGAGCCAGCAGTAGCAGCAGCACTAGTGAATACACAATGGCAGCGTCAGCAGCACCAGCAGTACTATGTCAGATAACCACCAGCAGCGCCATTAGTACTGGTAACCACGTAACGGCAGCAGCAGCAGCAGCAGCAATAATACTAGTAAAGATTGGTGAGCGCAGGGTGCATGCGTGCGCGCGTGCGCGTGAGGCCTTCTCACAGACCACGCTAGCGTCAATACGTGAGGCGATTGATCGAGCGCAACACGCAAAAGGAGAAATACATTGGAGAGCGGTTTCTACATGTCATGCATGCTGGGATGCCGAACTATATAGAACGAGCAAGCGAAAGGGAGGGCAAGAAACAGGCAGAGAGAGAGAGAGAGAGAGAGAGAGAGAGAGAGAGAGAGNCCACCACCGTCGTCGTCGTCGTCATCGTCGTCATCATCACTACCACCACCGTCGTCGTCGTCATCGTCGTCATCATCACTACCACCACCGTCGTCGTCGTCGTCATTGTCGTCCTCATCATTATTACTACTATCATCATCACCAATGGAGAACTGAATGGACTACCTTGATCTATAGTATGATAATACGACTATGGCGATCTAGCTCTCTTCAACACGAGACACGGGAGATCTCTTCTTCACTTGACTCGCGTTAGCTAATCGAACGTGTGATTATGGGCAGCTTATGGATTTCATTAAAATTATGAGCTTCAGAAATTCTGGGTTTCACGACAGATTCTTGTGTCACCAGCCATGTTTTCACTCACACAACTCCTGCAAGTATTTATTTATATCTACTGTATTTATATGTGTAAATATAAATAAATAAATAAATAAATAAA